CTTAAAATTAGAGGTAGGCTGATGGATGTTATGTCAACAAGCAATAGGTTAACTGGTATTCTGTACTCACCATGCCAAAAATAAAATGCTATTGAAGGCAAAGGTCATTTGAAAATTTCAAAATTGAGAATGGTAAAATTTTTGTTAGCTAATGATGTTATGAAACAAAGGCAGATGTATGGAAATTAGAGGCAGATCAACTGTGATCTAACTGAATGTTGGAAGAGGTTTGAGGGGCTGAATAGTGGTCTCCAGTTCCTAACTTTACTCAGTGTTTCTATTCATTTATACACACATTCACGAGGATATCTGAAAAACAATAGCTAGTGGTGTAAAGTTTTTTTGAATTACGCACTCACTCCAATTACAAATCGAAATGGTCAGCAGCACAATTATAGATATTGTTGTTTCAAACTTATGTTGGATCTGAACAGCCTTCATATGGTAAATTACTGGGATTACAACACAGAAACAAACCGTTCGCTTAATACCAGTGTTTATACTCCATAGGAACCTCCTCCCAACACATTTCGTCTAATCCCCTTAGCAGAATTATTTAATCCTTTTGACCTCATGTAGTAGTTGTAGATATGTCAAGATCAGTGAGTGACAATGTAAAAGGTATTGGATTAAGTGTATTGCAACATCAAAATTTTGCCAGTTTAGCTAATGTATCAGAGCAGAGTGTCAGTGAAGTGGTAAAATACTTCATGCCAGCTGCATATTTAGCAAGTGGTAGCATTCTTGCCTGGGTTAGGAGGTTGAGTCAAGTTCCAATCCAGAGACTTTACACAAATATTCAGGCAAACATTGCAGCGGCAGTACCAGGGAGGGCCACAAATTTGAGGTGCTGTCTTGGGAGGCAAACTGAGGTATTCACTGTACCTTTGGGTGTCATGATTTCGAAGTCACAGCATTGGTTTGGTCTCAACTAACGTACCAACACTCAATTCTGGACACCGCATTTAGGAAGGATGTGAAGGCACAAGAAAGGGTGCAGAAAGATTTACAAGAGTGGCATAACTAGGGCCTGAATAGGGCTTTAAACCAAATAGTGAGGGGTGGGGTTCAGTTTCTCAGAATTACAAACAGTTAAAAGGGGGGAGGGCTTGCAGAGGCTATTAAAGTTTCCAGAACAAGTGATAGGACAGAGAATGGAAAAGGTCAGGAATCTAATTTCAGGCACAGCACATAAGGGGACAACTATGAGAAGTGGGGCAGTCAACACAGGACTAAGGGTGTTGTACTTAAATGCATGCAGTATATGAAAGAAGGTAAATAAGCTTGTAGCGCAGATTGAAATTGGCAGGTACAATGTTGTGGGTATCACAGAGACATGGCTGCAAGGGGTTCAGGTCTGGGAACTAAATATCCAAGGATATGCATTGTATTGAAAAGGACAGCCAGGCGGGAGGACAGAGAGATGGACAGACGGGGCAGGGGTTGCCTTGCTCATACGTAATGAAATTAAATCGATAGCAAGAAATGATATAGATTTGGAAGGCATAGAATCTGTGTGGGTAGAGTTGAGGAAACACAAAGGAAAAAAGACCCTGATGGGAGTTATGTACAGGTCTCCTAGCAGCAGTCAGGATGTGGGGAAGAAAATCAATCAGGAGATAGAAAAGGCATGTATGAAAGGCACTACTATAATAATCATGGGGGGCTTCAATGTGCAGATGGACTGGGAAAATCAGACTGGTAGGAGATACCAAGAAAAGAAATACATGGAATGTCGACAAGTTGTTTTTTCCTGGAGCATCTTGTGGTAGAGCCCACTAGGGAATAAGCAATTCTGGATTTGGTGATGTGTAATGAGGCAGACTTGATTAGGAAGATTGATGTGAAGGAACCTCTGGGGGATAGCGACCATAATATGATAGCATTCACCCTGCAGTTTGAAAGGGAGAAGCTGGAATCAAGATATAATGGCACTACAATTGGGTAGAGGTAATTGCAAAGACATGAGGGAGGAGCTGGCCAGAGTTGACTGGAGGGGAAGCCTAGCAAGGAAGACAGTGCAGCAACAATGGCAGGAGTTTCTGGGGGTAATTCAGGAATCACATCAGAAGTTCAAACCAAGGAAGAAGAAACATATTAAGGGGAAGACAAGGCAGCCGTGGCAGACAAGGGAAGTCAGGGACAGCATTAAAGCACACGAAGAAAAACATACGTGGTGAAGATTAGTGGAAAGACAGAGGATTGGGAAGTCTTTGAAAACCAGTAAGCATAAACTAGCTAGCTGTATAAATGAAGATTGCAAAGTTTTTTTAAAGGTATCTAAGAGGTAAGACAGAAGCAAGGGTGAATATAGGACCACTGGAAAATGAAGCTGGAGGAATAGTAAGGGGTGCAAAGAAATGGTGGAGGAACTGAATAGGTACTTTGCACCAGTTTTCACATTGGAAGACACCACTGCATACCAGAACTTCAAGAGAGCCAGGGAGCAGAGGTGAGTGCAGTGCCTATCAAAAAGACATTTGAATAGTTACATGAATAGGTATGGTTTAGAAGATATGGGCTAAATGCAGGCAATTGGGACTAGTTTAGTTTGGGAAACTGGATCAGTGTAGAAAAGTTGAACCAAAGGGCCTGTGTCTGTGCTGTATGACTATGACTAAGAGGGTGCCAGGGAAGCTGAAAGGTCTGAAGCTGGATAAATCACTTGGACCAGATGGACTATACTCCAGAGTTTTATTTGATTTTTATTTATTCATTGTCACATGTACCTAAGTACAGGGAAAAGCTTTTGTTTACGAGCAGTACAGTCAGATCTAGGGGTGAAAAAGAAACTTAGAGGCACACAGATTACGTTGCACAGGGCATGCACTAGACAAGATCAACATTAGCAAGATCAGCATTATTTGAAGTTAAAGAGTCCATTCATCAATCTAACAACGGCCAGGAAGAAGCTGTTCGTGAATGTCCAAGCTTCTGTATCTTCTGCCTGATGGAAGAGGTGTAGGAGAACATTACCAGGGTACAATGGGTGTTTGATAATGTTTTGAAGGAAACAGCTAAGGAGATTGTAGAGACATTGGTGGTGACATTTCAGAAAACAGTGCAGTCAGGGAGGGTCCCAGATGAATGCCAAAATGGCTAATGTAAAACCCGTTTAAGGAACGAGTTAGCAGAAGACAGGATATTATATGCCGGTTGGCCTGACCACGGCCATGAGAAAGATTTTAAGAGTCCATTTAGGATGAAATTGTGGAGTATTTGGACTGCATGGTAAAATAGGGCTCAGAAGGTATGACTTCTTCAAAGGGAGGTCATGCCTGACAAATCTGTTAGATTTCTTTGAGGAGGTAGCGAAAAAATTAGACAAAGGAGAGCTAGTGGATTTGGATTTCCAGAAGGCCTTTGACAAGGCACACAGGAGGCTGGTAAATAAGATAAAAGCCCGTGCTATTTGGGGCTAGGTACTGGCATGGTTAGAGGATTGATTGACTGGCAGAAGGCAGAGGGTAAGGCAAAAGTATTTTTTTTTAAGACGGCAGCCAGAGACTAGTGGAGTTACGCAGGGGTCCATGTTGGGATTACAACAATTCACGTTATACATTAGCAACTGGGACAAAGTAACTGAGGGCATTAATGCTAAGACTGCAGGTGACACAAAGATAGGCAGAAGGACAGGTAGCGTTAAGGAAGCAGGGAAGCTGTAGAAGGACTTGGACAAGTTTGGAGAGCGGGCAAAGTGGCGGCAGATGGAATACAATGTGGGAAAGCCAAGTTATGCACTTTGGTGGGAAGAGTAGAGGCATAGACTATTTCCTAATCGAGGAAAATCTTTCAAAATCTGAAGCACAAAGGGACTTGGGAGTCCTAGTTCAGGATTCTCTTAAGACTAACATGCAGGTTCACTTGGCCATTCGGCAGACAAATGCAATGTTAGCCTTCACTACAAGAGGGTGAGAATACAAGAACAGGGATGTATTGCTAAGGATGTACAAGGCGCTGGTCAGACTGCATATGGAATACTGAGAGCAGGTTTTGGGCCTGGTGTCTAAGTATAAATGCGGTGGTCCAGGAAGGGGTCCTGAGGAGGTTTATAAGAATGATCCTGGTGACGAAGGGTTTGTCACATGAGGAGTGGTTGATGACTCTGGGGTCTGTACTTGATGGAGTTTAAAAGGATGAGGGGGAGAATCACACAAACTTACAGAATGCTGAGAGGCCTAGATAGAATGGATGTGGAATGATGTTTCCATTAGGAGGAAAGACACAGCCTGAGAATGAAAGAATGACCCATTAAAACTGAGACGAAGAGGAATTTTTTCAGCCAGAGGGTGGTGAATCTGTGGAACTCATTGCCGCAGAAGGCTGTAGAGGTCAAGTCATTGAATGCATTTAACAGAGATAGATAGGTTCTTGATTGGTAAGGGGATCAAGGATTACAGGGAGAAGGTAAGAGAATGGGGTTCAGAACACAACAGCCATGATCAAATGGTGGAGCATACTCAATGGATTGAATAGCCTAATCCTACTCTTTATCTTACTGTCTTATGGTTCCAGGGATGAGGGTCTTTGTTTATGTGGACTGATTGGAGAAACTGTTGGACAAAAGGTGACACTTAATGAATTTTCAAAATCATTAGGGGTCTAGACTGAGTAGAGAAGGTTGAAAACAAATGATCACCAATTTGAGGTGATCAGCAAAACAACCAAAAGGGCAATGAGGGGGAAAAAAAACACTCTGCAAGGCTAAGACAGTTGGAGAATGGTACTTGCTGAATTGCTTTTGCAGTGAGCTGGTACAGGGTAAATGGCCGCCTCCTGTCCTTCAACTATTTCCCTCCATTACAACAGCAACTACATTTCCAAAATTTTTTTTTTGCTGTGAAGTACTAGGGGGTGTCTTGAGGTCAGAAAATGTGCCACATAAATGCAAGTTCTTAGTTGTCTCTTTTTAGTGATACCACTGGCAAACCAAATTCTCCCTTTATAGAAATACAGAGCAACTTTAAACGAATTAGATCAATTTATGGCTGTGTACTCACATCTTTGATGTGCTCATGTCGACAGGTTCATCACCGGCCTGTACTTCTACTTTAATTGTTGCTTTCACTTCACCCGGCCCCTTTAGCAACCCAGGAGTCCGACCACCACCCCGATCGATGGGTTCTGTTTTAATTCTCATTCCCCCTTTCACTTCATCTAGTTCACTGTCCCTATCATTCCCTCTGGAACATTCCATTTTTGGTTTCTTCATATCCACATCGTTATGCAGGCCTTCACGCTCCAATGCTCTCTTTTGGCTTCGCGTTCGGTATACTTCATCTGTCATAGCAGAAATATCTGTCAAAAAAGACAAAGTACTTAGGAGCTTTGATTTCTCCACCTAGTGTTACACTGCACTAGAAACATATCTTCTCCCCCAAAACCTCTTTCTCGATTGCTTAAAGATGGCTCAGCAACTGCTCAGTGGACAACCTCCAAAATATTGGATATTTGGGGTCTTGTTAAGACACGGTTTTAAAGAGGACACCGATGCACTATGGAGGGATGAAAAAGCATGAAACCAGAACTGATAGAGAATAACTTATCTGCAAAGACTGGACACGTTGAGGATGTCTTCTCTGGAGAGAAGATTCAGCAACAACTGATAGAGGTCTTCAAGATCATGAGAGGGTTTAATAGGGTAGACTTAGAGAGGATGTTCCCAACGATCTCAGAATACTACAGTAAAGGAGGCCATCAGGCCCATTGAACTCTTACCTGGTTGTTCCACTCAGCCTTTTCTTTCACCACCCCCATACTCCTGCAATCATTCCTCCTTCAGATAGGCATCAAATTTCCTTTTAACAAGTACAATTTAATTCATACCCACCACGGTGTGCATTTCAAATCCCAACCACCCACTGCATAAAAAATGTTTTGGTTTCCTCTCGAATCTTGGATTCTTTTGCTGATTATCTTAAATCTGTGCTCTTTGGCTATTGTCCTTCAGCCATTGGAAGAAGCTCTCCATTTATTTTTATCAAAAACCTCCACCAAGCTCCACTGAATCGCCTCTTCTCTTAACCTCGCATAAGCAAAAATTGTAGATACTTGAGATTTGATTGAAGAACAGAAAAAGCTGGAAACACCGATGAAGAGACAAAGTGACAGATCAGTGGCCTTTCATCAGAATTTTGCAACCTTTTTTGCTCTAACAACTCCCGTTTCCCCAGTCTACATTGCTGCAATCCCCTGTTCCCAGAACCCTTTGACAGCCATAGACTAACATTTGAAATACTTTTCATCCAATTTAGCAGTGCAACTGAAAATTCCACCCACTTACACAACAATCAGGAGAAAAACTAAAAAAAACCTTAATTGTCATTTAAACACATAAAATGTCTGAAACAGGGTGTGACCATTTCCTCTGTTTCAGATTAATATCTTCAATTCCATGTCAAATGAAGGTCAAAGTTAATTGCAATTTCATTAATATCCTTCAATTTAGCAAAGTACTCTAACGGTGGTGATTTTCTCTATTATTAAAGATCTTCATAGATTAGGACTAATGAAGCTCAGACCTGGCTAGTTAATGCTTCATCTTATCCACCTCAAATGCAGTTTATGGTACTGGATTCTACTACTGGAACAAACATTCTTGATTTTCTCAATCTTCACACAGAACGTTTGCACACAGTAGCTCTAATTAAGACTTCCTAGTGGACAATGAGACTGCAATTAAGAGTCACAAACTTTTCATGTTTTGGCCATTTAAAAGTAATGTAATCAAGCAGGCTATTTAGCTTATTGATACCAATAGCAAATTCACAAGAAACTCCCAAGTGGAAAGAATATGGATCTTGCTATTATTGGCAGTAGCTGAAAGGAATAGAATAGATGTATTTAAGGGGAAATTAGCAGCTGGGGAAGGGAATGGAGGGTTGTGCTGATACAATTGGATAAGGAAAGGTTGGAGAGTTTCATATACAGCATAAACACCAGAATGGACTGGTTAGGCTGAATGGCTTGCTTCTGTGTAATATATCCTACGCAAGGAAGATGGGCAAGATCACCTTCAACCAATGAGTACTCAATCACCTAAAAATATTCCTAACAGAAGTACCCACCAGTGAGCCTACGTCAATGGTGGGTAGGTTGTTGGAGGGAATTCTAATGGATAAGATTTACATGCATTCGGAAAGGCAAGGTTTGATTACAGATAGCCAGTATGGCTTTGTGCATGGGAAATCATGTCTCACTAACTTGAGTTTTTTGAAGAGAAGTCGAAGAAGATTGAAAGAGGCAGCTCAGTAGACATTGTCTATATGGACGTCAGGAAAGCATTCAACCATATGCAGCATGGTAGACTGGTTAGTAAGGTTAGATCACATGGCATCCAGAGGAGCTGGTCAATTGGATATAAAACTGACTTGAAGGGAGGCCACAGAGGATGGTGATGGAGGGTTGGACTGGAGGTCTGTGACCAGTGGCATGCCAATGCTTTTTGTCATTTATACAATTGATTTGGATGTGAATATAGGAGGCATGGTTATTAAGTTTGCAGATGACACCGAAACAGGTGGTGTAGTGGACAGTGAAGGAGATTATCTCAGAGTACAACAGGGATCTTGACTAGATGGGCCAATATCTTGAGTAGCAGATGGAGTTTAATTTCGATAAATAAGAGGTGCTGCATTTTGATAAGGCAAACCAGGGCAGGACTTGTAAAGTGAATGGTAAGGCCCTGGGAAGTGTTGCTGAAAAAGAGAGACCTAGGGGTGCAGGAACATAGCTCCTTGAAAGTGGAGTTGCAGCCAGACAGGGTGATGAGCAAGGCGTTTGGTATGCTTGCCTTCATCGGTCTTAACACTGAGTGTAGGAGTTGGGATGTCACGTTGTGGTTGTACAGGACATTGGTAAGACCACTTTTGGAATACTGTGTATAATTCTGGTCAGCGTTCTATTGGAAGGATGTTGTTAAACTTGAAAGGGTGGAAAAATAGATTTACAGATATTATGCCTGAATTGAAGGGTTTGAGCTATAGGGAGAGGCTGAATATGCTGGTGCATTTTTCCCTGGAGCATCAGAGACTGAGGGCTGACCTTATAGAGGTTTATAAAATCATGATGGGCATGGATAGGGTGAATAGCCAAGGTCTTTTTCCTAGAGCAGGCGGGGGGGCCAAAACTAGAGGGCAAAGGTTTAAGGTGAGAGGAGAAAGATTTGAAAAGGACCTGAGAGGTAACATTTTCATGCTGAGCGTGGTGTGTCTGGAATATGCTGTCACAGGAAGTGTTGCAGGCAAGTACAATTACAACTTTTAAAAGGCATCTGAATAGGTTTATGAATAGGAAGGGTTTAGAGGGATTTGGGCCAAATGCCGGCAAATGAGGCTAGGTCATTTGGGATGTCTGGTCAGTGTGGATGAGTTGGACCAAAGTGACTGTTTCCATACTGTACGACTATGTTAACCCCAGAATTACAAAGCTTGAAAAATTCTCTCCAGAACCAGCCCTGATTGAAAGGAGCCAATCCAAATTTGTACTAGAGGTAAAAATGCTGTGTAATACTGCTGGGAAATGGAAATATAAATAGAAAACACTGGAAATATTCACTAGGCCAGACTGCGCCTGTGAGCAAAAAAAGTTCATTTCCACCTGCAACTCTCTCCACAGATTTTCAGCATTACCTGTTCAGATAATAATTCTTGTACTGTTGGCCATTTCCCAGTTCCAAGTAGGCAGAACAAGATAAGTTCATTGATCCATAATTAGACTAGGCAGAAATTTTAGCAACAAGTCTGCAATGATCAGCCATATTTCCCCAACCTGCACTGAAGCTAACATGCATGTGAGGTGAGGACAAGGGCAAGAATGTCATTGTGGTCCTTGTTGTTAGGCAATAAACACTGCTGGAAAATACATGCATGGCTTTTGTCACTGGGGTAATGCACCCAATGCTTTTTCTAACTTCTATTCAGTGCACAGCTGGCTGTTGTGCTGCAAAGCCTCTTTATGACTGATGCATGGCTGCACATATGTGCTTCTGAAAGGGAATGTTACTAGGGTGCAGCCAGTTTATTCCCTCTGTGTGGCACACTCCTGATTACTACAAAGTTTTATGCACTCACATAGCTTGGAGGAAACATTGGTCACACCTCATAGGTCTGATGACAGCCTGTTTAATGTTCACTGTTTAAAGAATAGCCATTAGGATACAGGAGTGCAGCTGGTATCTGCAAGAACACAACAAAGATCCATAGCTCTGAAGGGACACTCTCAGGAAACCAGAGGGGAACAGAAAAATCAGTAAAGAGAATGAGGTGAAAAAAAACAATTTTTCAACATGATACTAGAACTGAAAGGCTAAACGGGCTGGTGGTCATTCCACTGGAAAATAGAAGGCTGGAACAATGACCTGATATAAATCCTTAAAATTATGAAGGGGTGACCCAGAGAAGCCTAGAAGTAGGACCTATAAGATAATAAATGATAAATCAAAAAAGAAATTCAGGAGAAATTTCTTTACCCACAGTAGTTACAATGTGGAACTTGTTACCAGAGGGAGCAGTTGAGCTGAATAGTGAAAGGGTCTTTAAGGGAAAGAAACAGGAAAATATGTACGCTGGCTGAGATGAAGTAGGATTGAAGTCAACGCATAAACAGCCCAGACCAGTTGGTGTGACCACCCTGTTTCTTTGTGTTCTAACTTTTATGTCAGAAAGGAATCAAGCTGTAGGTAGTTTTTTTGCCCAGCTATTAGTCTTTGAGCAGGATCATTTCAAAGCCAACAACACTAACTCCATCTTTCTGATAATTACCTGTGGCTCCTTAAAATGTAGCACACCTTCAGTTCCCATTTGGCTGCTGCTGATTTAGAAAATTGAGAGAATGCTGACAATTAGCAACAGCAAAGCAGGAGAAATCATTCTGTTGTCTTTAAACCAAAACATTACTGTTTTTGCCAACATGCTAAATGAAACAGGTCAATGCAAGAAATATCTTTGAATTTCTTTTTAAAATGGCTAGTAACACAATGGGACATAGAATCAACTTAGTTTCTTCTGTCAGTAGGCGGCTGAGCCGGTCGTCGGGAGATAAGCGAAGGAAGAGACACAGCTCAACATCAAATAAATGGAGACACCAAATACTTAAATGAGAAGCACCTTCTTGCATTCAGTGAGGAAGCATGAAAGATCGTTATTTGCCAGATCCCAGACTGAGGGCAAAATCTTAAACTATGAAACACTACATTTACAAGAGCACAGTTTCTCAGTGAAAGGTTATGTCAGTATATTTTCTGGCTCAGAAGCAATTAATTGTAATTTGCAAGTCTTTCTCACATTAACATGAATTCA